TTCAACAAACATAGCGTTTGATCCGGGAAAAAGCTATCAAGCCCTCGAGTCAACGTTATTCAAGTCAAAATTCCTCTTTCAATAAGATCAAAGAATCAAGTCCTCCAAGAAGTCTTCTTCAATCAAGTCAAGACCTAACATTTAATAAGGGAATAAGTCATTCGACCCCCAAATTAATGTTAGATAAATTCAAGACTACGACCGAAGGAGGTTCAATTGTCAAATCCATCTTTCAAGATCTCAAACCCAAATCCATGAAGAGAAGAATCAGAGGAGATAAATAGAGATTGTACCCGCAACATCATTTGATCGAAATATAAATCAAGTTGTACAAAAAGTTTTATGTTTTTCATAAAATTTGTTGTTACAGTATTCTAAGAAAATAAAAAGAGAAACATTTGTCAATTATCTTTTTTTTTTTCTTGCCTTTTATGCAATTTAATTTATGTATTTCCGTTGTTATAATTTCACATAACAGGTGTTATTCAAGCCAAACAAACAATGAAACAACTCAAACCTGAGCTCGTGAGCAAACGTTCGGGTCATTTGATAAAACTAAAACGTTAAACAAAAAAAAAAAAATTAAAAAAAATGCACCAAATGGCTTGATCAATTTGTTTAATAAATTATACTGATTATTTTTTTTTTTTTGTTTTTGGGAAAAATATAAACAAATCAATGCGGCGGTACTTGTCAAAGTTTGTGTTGTTATATAAAATTTAACAACAAATTTAACAACGATAATCACCTGTATTAAGCATATTGAAAGTTGTAAAATAGCTAGATTTTACATAGACTTTTATAATTTGAAATAGTGTTCTAAAAGTCACTAGGCGCCTAGTGGTCGGAGCCTAGAAATCAATATTAAATACCTTATTTTTTTTATCTATTTTAACTATCTACAAAATAAAATTATCTCAACTTATAATAAATCACACACCTAAGTCCAAATAATAAAATTAATATATTTTAAAGAAAACATGAGAACAAAATAATGTAATTAGTGTTTAAACAAAAAAGAATTAAAAAATTGCCGCCGAGTCGCCTAGGAGCGCCTAGGTCCGTCTATGCCCGCCTAGGCGCCGCCTAACCGCATGGCCGTCGAGCCCGCCAACTTAGCCTAGCCGTCTGGTCGATTTTTTTTGCCGATTTGTACAAATCGGAGGCGTCCGGGCACCACCTAGGCCGATTTTTAGAATAGTGATTTGAAGTCAGGTTTTTTGTACAAGTGGTCGGTTTTATGCTAAACCGAGTTGTCTTATATGCGTGTTAAAATGAGTCTGAAAAATATCCTCGTACATGAATAAATGATGCTATTTATAGTAATTCTAGGCTCATTATTCGAAAATCATTCAGAAACATTAAATGCGATTTAACGGTCTAGGGATAGCTAGCCCGGAGGTAGTCCCACAAGTAATGGTGAAGGTATGGGCGGCTGATTGATAGGCGTCTCATCTGTCTCTTATCATGTCATGATCTCGGTTCTTCATGGAAGTTGATTTGTCGGAAAAAGTGAGTATTTTTTATATTTACTAGTGTATTTTTATAAGCTTAATTTTGTTGTACTTATAAATTTTTCGACTTATTTATTTATTATATGAATTCAAGTACGATGATATATTCATGATTTATTTTCAGGATATTGGACTAATAACATGAACGGCGGTACGATAAACACGCAAATGTGTAAAAGCTGGAGTATCATTCTGATTAATCAAGGCTCATAGTGATTAGTGGGCTCATATGAATTAGCCTAAATCCAAGGCCCAAATATGCCTTTTGGAACCATAATTAGAAGCCTCGAACTTGTTAAATTAAAAGAGAAGAAAAGTTGTGCGACGCCCACGCCTAGGGTTACAAACGAATCGAATTAAAGTGAATATTCACATATTCGATTCGGATTCATTAAAATGTTCGAAGATTCGAATTCGTATTTGATTCATTAACGAACTCATTTTTTTATTCGTATTCGATTCGTTTAGAATATTCGAACATATTCGATTCGATCGAAATTCGTTTTAAAAAAAAAAAATATAATTAAAAAATATTATAATTAGAAAAAAAAAAACATAAATTATTTTTTATATATTTTTAGGAAAATTTGTTAATTTACGATGTTTTTACTTTTTATTTCATAAAAATAGTAGGAATATAACAATATATATAAATATATATTATAAACAAAATATACTATATATAATTTATAAAATTATATTATTATTTTTAACGAATCGAATATTCGAATTTTGAATCAAATATCTACAAATTCAAAATTCAGATTCGTTTAACTTTCGAATATAAAATATTATTCGTATTTGAATTCGAATCATGAATATCGAATCAAATTAAAAAAAAAATTTGATTTGCTTACAAGCCTAGCCACGCCACTCACGGAATTTTGAGGACATCAAAAGCGCAACCATATATTTATTTTTTGGTAGATAATGGGAACTTTTTATTAACATAGGTTAGTTTGCGAACATAGGAAAACCACGCAGCCATAAGAGACCATACCGCGCAGATTAGGGAAAAAGTACAGAGACGCGAGAACTGACGAGGGATTCGACAATCGCGGAAGGAGGCCGCACCCGCACACGAAAAGGAATAATCTTTTTCTTTTTTGTTACTTTTTATTTATTATGTTAGACTAGTTTTTATTTCTATTTTCGGAAAAGTCGAACCCTACGATTGTCGATGTTTTGATAAATTTATATGTTGATAATTTAAATATCTTTTTGAAATTGTTCGTGTTATTTTGAATAATTAACCATGATGTGTTGAGTCTTATTTAGATTGATCACATAGATTAGACTTTTCATATCTATAGTTGAATTAGACCTTCAATTCGTAATTGATGTCGTGTTTAATTCATAAGAGGCTACAGAAAGACGGTAACTACCGGGAATAACACGACCAATTTAAGTGAACAAACGCGGTTGAGTTCACTACTTAGATAGCCTATTTTTCTAATTTGTAAAACGGCTAATTGTATTAAATCTTGGAAAACCTTTTTTTGGACTGTACAAGAAGTCAGGTTTAATCGCAAAACGTCTCGCAATTAAATTAAAAATAAAGAAAAATTTGGATAAAATTAAAAATAAAGAAAAATTTGGGTAACATACCGTGTCGTTGTCTAGAACTAGTAATTCCATATGCTAGCGAGATTTGATACCAAAAATTGATTAGACGAGTCAGTCGAGGGTGTAGACAGACCGTAGACTAGAAAATTATATTATTTATTTTATTTTATTTTTATTTTCATTATTTAGATTTTATGTTTAGATAGATTAGTTATTAATTCGAATCTCCTCCCCTCCCCCTTCATCGCTTTCATAACAATTTCAATTAATACAAAATATCACAAATTGGTTCACACTCCTCGTGAGATCGACATTTTTCAATTAATACAAGAATATCATAATCTGTTTCACACTCCTTATGGGATCGACCTTTGCTCGCCACTACTACTAGTTAGTAGAGATTAGTGAAGAAAAAATATAAATTATAATTTTGCCGCGTTGCGACACGCGGTCAAAATATATAAATATATATATAAATTGTTCTCCTTTCGGTTAGTGAAGTCGATACTCGTCCAATTGAAGAGGACGGTTCTCCTTCCGGTTCACGCCAAGTTCTACCAAGTCGGTCTCCCATCTGACATCCATTGATTGGGCTAATCAGGTCGGTTGTCAGCAATTTGTTAAACACGACATAAATCCATTGGTGAACCATGTAATTTGAGTACTCAATACTAATGAGTATAGGAGTAAACGATTCAAGTCAAACTTAGCTCGTTTATAAAACAAGTTAAACAAATTGAGATAAAAGAAATTGAGCTCTACTCGTATACCAATATTACGCACTAAGTCTTACAAAGTTAAATAAAAATCTTTATTTTTGAGTTTCAGCTCGTGAACTAACAAGCATCGAACAGGCTATGCCGATCTAAAATTTTAACGAGTGCAAATTCCCAATCGATCATTTAATTTAAGTGAATCTCTGTTTACCGCCTCCCTTTTACTAATCACCGCTCCCCCAATTACGTTTTTGCCCTTCACACTATCTCTCTACTTTCTCTCTCTACGCTTTCCCTCTCGACTTTTTACGGCTCTTTTGACCGTAAAAAAAATGTCGAAAAAGTCCGAA